TCTTGGTGTGTTCTTATTTGGTGAATCTCGTGATGCAATTCTGCTGTTGGTTCGAGGTCACGACTATCTGGACTCATATGTATGATGCTGTTTGACTGCTGAAGTTCGCTATTGCTCATCTTCCTTGCAATTTGGTATCGGAGCTGTGGTATGTTTGCGTTCATCTGGCGCTTGTCTTCTGCCTGGTACGGTACATACATGCGGTCTGCTTGGCGAGTTTGGCCGTAGGTGGTGTGTAGTGAGGAGGGTGGAGGCGAGTGTTGGCGACCCAGGAGGTGAGGGGATCGCCAGGAAGGCTACGTGGGGTAAGGTGGTCTGGACATTGTGATGAGAACTATCTAATGTGCGATTGATGCTGACGTGGAACGGCGAGATAATGCTCGTTGTGCCGATGCAGTGACTGGTCATCGCAATCGCCAAAAGGTCATCTGGTGAGATTATCTCTGTGGTTGGGGGCAACTATTTGAGGTACGTTGCTCTTAACCTTATCTACCCTCTTCGACACTTCTTACCGTGAGGTTGTGTGTTCCTTCTTGAGAGTCCTCTCATTGTGAGGTGTTGAGTGCTCTCAACTTGAGAGTCGGCAATGTTCACGTGGAGCATCTGGGAGAAGATGGGCGGAGCTTTCTTGAGGGCCCTGGACGAAGCACTCGGTCACGGTCACCATGCCAACCCACCGGGAGTAGAGCACGCATGCTTTGCTGCTTGTCCTTTGTTCGGCTTGCTGCGCTGTTAGATGGGTACTGAAGGGCAGGCCCTTAAGGGAGACGAGACCGGGCGTCTTTAAATAAGCACAGGAAGGGGAAACATTGGCTGTGATCGTCGTCCGGCTGCGGCGTACAAGAATTCCTGGAGTCACTTGGGGGCGGACGTTAAATTGCCTCTGGATCAGCCAATGGTTGTAAGGCTCGCTGCACGCGAGGATAATCCAGTGCAGGGCTGGCCAGCTCAGCAGATACTCGGGGCACAGGGGTGGGCCGGACACACACCTTTAGACACGCTACGCTCTCCAGATTGCTCAGGGACACTGACGTCAAGTGATACTCGAGGGAACTAAGGGAGGGGCAAATTCCAGTTGATAAGTTCGAGAAAATTCCATGCTGTCCTATCCACACAAATGATTCTATTTTTATGTTTTGATTAGTTAGGTGTACAACCATTGAAATTTGACAGACAGCATTAGTTAGAACTGTTTCTTGTTCATGATGCTTCTGTTTGCGAACTAGTCAACTTAAAAATAGTTTTATTTGTAGGAATCTGACTTACCTGTTGACCCGAATGTAAAGTCTCCGAAATAGCCACCAGTTGGTCTGTGCACTACACTGCGGTAGGCACCTAAAGTGCATTAGTGCAGATTGTGTACAGTGCTGTAGCTTATGAGCGATAGGGAGGAACAACAACCGGACGACCGGATCTTGCGATCGGCAAGGCGCCCAGTAGCCCACTTGGCATTAGGACCAGAGGGCGACAAACATCTGTTCCGCCAGCTTAGGGAGAGGCAGCAGCATCAGAGGAGGGCTAGAGCAGCAGAGGCTAGCAGGGCACTTGTGAGTGAAGCCGCAACTTCAGAAGCCATGGCCACCCCAGCACAACAGTCCTCTCAGGCCGGTAGTTCAGGGTCTGTCAGGTCAACGGTGTCGCAGACCCAGAGTCACTCCACTGGCGTAATGGCGAGCCAGCCACTAGTGTTAACTCCTGATGAGATCGCCATACAACAAGCAGCATTGCAGGAGGCACAGCTACAGAAGGCGTTAGGAGATATAAAAGCGGAGAAAGATAGAATGATTAGAAGAAGAGTCAGGATGCAACGTAGACAAGCGGACGTGAGTGAGTTAGAGAAGATGGACTTGACGCACGTAACGGATGATGTGAGGATCATCCGGTCTGTCCTGCTGAATGTAGTGGAGATGCAAGACAAGCAAACAACCATCCTTCAGGACATCCAGCAAAGTCTGGCCCTGTTGGTTGGGCGAGCGCCAGCAACGTCACCAATGTCCGGGCCTGGTGCCTGGCCCGTTGTACATCCTCCTCCTTATGTCCCACCGGTGACTAGGGTATCCCCATATATAGCTCCTTCCCTGGGCATGCCGCTATCAGGAGGGGTATCAACAGGAGCTAGTTTGCAGGCTCCTGTACAGATAGTGTACAGCCAATCTCCGTTGCAGGTTGCGGTCACCACGCAGCCTGCTGTCTCGCAGCCTGTGCAGCCGCAGGGCACACAGCCTCAGCAGCTAGCACAACAACCTGTGTCACAGGGTCCACAACCCGCCTTGATGCAGGGACCGGGACAAACACAGTGGGTTCCAAAGAAGGCCATCGCCACTCCGAAACCCTTTACAGGGGACAAGAGAGGCGAAGACCTCGACACATGGTTGAGGTTAGTGCCAGTCTATGTCAGGTGTAAACTTACCTTGCCGCACGAAGAAGTGTTTGTAGCTGCTTCCTACCTGGAGGATAGCGCAGCAAGATGGTTGAGTGGTTTAGTGCAACTCCAGGGGTATGGTCATGACTTCCGCGCTTGGGCGGTCACCCAGAAATTGGAGGACTTCCTGAAGATGGTGGAGGAAAGGTGGCACGATCCGCAGGAGGCCCAAAGGGCCACTGATGCGATCCTGACACTGCACACGCGGCAGTTTAAGTCAGTAAGGGAAGCCACCGACGCTGTTGAGCGTCTGATATGTGTCCCAGGGGTGCGCTATGACCCCCAGGTTCTGCTTACCTCGTACCCGAGATGCTTTTCTTTGCCTCTTAGGAACCAGTTGGCAAGTCAGGCCAACATTAATATGCACAACTTTCCTTCGTTTAGCAAGATGGCCCTAGACCTTKAGGCGAAGATAGGGCATGGACAGGCACCCACTACGGATGGAAGGAGAAAGACACTGCCTCCTAACTGGAAGGCGAAGGGGCGCATTATGTTTGTCGATAACGATAGTTCAACCATCGAATTAGACGAACACTTCCAGTAAGGAGTAGGTTCAAGGGCTGGCAGCGCAGAAGCTTCAGAGGGTGGAGTAGTCGCTGCCGTAACTCAGAAAGGTAAGGCGACCGGCAGACGCCGCGGAGGTTCCCGGTCCAGGAATCAAGTTGACCCCAACGCTCCCCCATGGGAGAAGGCGGGTCTTACAGAGGACGTGTGGAGAGATCGTTATTCACGGCAGGCCTGTATTCGTTATGGCCAATATGGCCATAACCAGTTCAAGTGCCGCAATAAGAAGGTGACCGATAAGATCCCGCCTACGATGGGACAGGTGTTGGGATCCTCCCATCCTGTTGGTAGCAACTTGGCTACCTTCCTCCCCCGAATACAACGTACGGTCATTATAGCCGTATTTGAGCATCTTCCAGTCTAGATACAGCTATAATGACCGTACGTTGTATTCGGGGGAAGAAGGTAGTTCTTCTGGCAGTGCTCCGGGAAACACGTCGGGCCAGTAGGAATAGTAGCTGTTCCTCCTAGGGTCGAGGTGGTGGAGACACCCTCACCATCTTGAGAGATGGCCCAAGCTACTGACTCCAACGTCGTCCCGCAAACACGTTCAGACCCATCGAGCCTCTGTTCGATGAATGTGTTTGAGTCCTTAGAGGAGCTAGAGGTGGAGTGGTCTAGATCAGACCCGCTAGCTTCTTGGACGGCCCTAGTCAAAGCCCCAAAGTGAGATGTTCGTCAGCGAGGTAGTCATTGGCAGCCGCAAGGCCGGGGCCTATTATGACACTTGCTCGACAAGGAACTTTATTAGTCGCCCGCGCGTTGAGAGGCTGCGTTTACAGGGGCGAGTGCAGCGCCTGAGTCGACCTGTGGAGTCGACCTGTGCCAACAAACAGCGCATGGTAGTCAACGACTACCTCCAGGATGTTGAGTGTTGTTTCCCGTACGCGGGAGGGGAATTGAGACATCGCGTTTCGTTCCTAGTGAGTGACGAGCTCCCAATGAATATGTTACTAGGTATGTACTACCTCTCTGTGGCACAGCCCCTGTTTGACTGGGACCGAAAAGTGGTCAAACACACTTTGCCAGGTGGAGGGACCGCCATATTACATAAGTTCAAAGCTAGTAGTCTGATTGAGTCCTATGGGTGCATGTGTGCGGCCACGTTCTACAATTATTATAAGCAAAACCAGGAGGAGGGTATGTACTTAGTTTATGTCTCTGCTGTAGGCGAGTCGATGAAAATGCCGCCGGAGATAGAGGGAGTATTTGCCAAGCACCCTGATCTATTTGAAGAGACGACAGGGGTTGTAGAGAGGGAGGTCGTCCACGCGATAGAGATTATCCCAGAGTCTAGTATCCCAAAGGGTAGGATCTATCGGATGTCTCCAGGCGAGCTCGATGAGTTTCGCCATCAACTCAAGGAACTCGTAGAGAAGGGTTGGATCCGGTCGAGTGTCTCTCCTTACGGGTCTCCAGTTCTATTCGTACCTAAGAAAAAGGAGGGTACACTTAGGATGTGCATTGACTATAGGGGCCTCAATGCCATCACTGTAAAGAATAGAGAGCCCCTACCGCGCATCGATGATTTGTTAGATAGAGTGCAAGGGTGTCGGTACTTCAGTAAGATAGATCTGAAGTCCGGGTACCATCAGGTTGCAATCCGGCCCGAGGATCAACACAAAACCGCCTTTCAGACCAGGTACGGTCTGTACGAGTTTGTGGTGATGCCTTTCGGCCTTTGCAATGCTCCTGGCACCTTTCAGCACGCTATGAATCGGATATTCCATGACTACTTGGATAAGTTTGTCATCGTTTACCTCGATGACATACTTATTTTTAGTAAGATTGTCGAGGAGCACGTGAGTGGACAGATGAGTGCGGCGCTCCTTTCAAGCATATGAAGCATGCGTTGACGCACTACGAGGTCTTGAAACTTCCTGACCCCGATAAGTCGTTTATAGTCACCACGGATGCCAACCAATATGGCATTGGCGCCGTGCTCGCGCAACAGGAAGGGCCAAAATTGAGGCCTGTAGAGTACATGTCCAAGAAAATGCCGTCTCAGAAGTTGGCTAAGTCCACTTATGAGAAAAAACTCTATGCGGTTTACAAGGCTCTGACCCATTGGAGGCACTATCTCCTTGGGGGGTTCTTCATCCTCAGGACTGATCATCAGAGACCCTGAGATGGATGAGAACTCAGCCGGTACTCTCTGACGCTCTCAAGCGTTGGATCGAAGTCATTGAGGAGTATGACTTTGACCCTCGGTATCTGAAAGGGTAGTACAACAAGGTTGCTGATGCCTTATTGCGTAGACCTGATTTCTCAGGTGCGCTGATTACTGAGTTCGATCTGACGTACAATGTTACTCAGTCCTTGGTGGAAGCCTATCGCGAGGACCAGTTCATGTCTGAGATCATATGCAGACTGAAGGCGAAGGACAAGAAGACCTCTGCCAAGTTTGAATTGGTCAATGGCTTGCTGTTCCTTGAGAAGGCTGGGAATAAACGTTTGTGTGTCCCGAATAGCGAGTCTTTGCGTAGTTTGTTTTTAGGAGAGTGCCATGATGCCACCGGCCATTTTGGGTACAAGAAGACCGCAGCTAATCTGCTGCAGCGGTTCTGGTGGCCCACGATGATGCGAGATGCCCAACTGTATGTGGAGACTTGCCAGGTCTGTCAGAGGGACAAGCCCCATACACAGGCTCCTCTTGGGCTACTGAAGCCCCTTCCGATTCCGGAATGGCCTGGCGAGAGTCTGTCCATGGACTTCATGGATACTCTGATCACCAGCAAGAGTGGGATGCGACACATCTTCGTCATCGTGGATAGATTTAGTAAGTATGCTAGGTTAGTAGCAATGCCGGAAACAGGAAGGACGGAGTATGTGACCAGAATGTTCAAGGAGAACTGGGTTAGGGACTTTGGGTTACCGAAGTCTATTATTAGTGACAAGGATGTCCGATTTACCAGCGAACTGTGGAAGGCCGCTGATGCAGAGCAGGGGACCCAGTTGCAAATGACCTCTGGGAATCACCCAGAGGCCAACGGCCAGGCCGAGCAACTGAACCGCGTTGTACAACACCTGTTGAGGCATTACATCAAGCCCAGCCAGGTGGATTGGGATGAGAAGCTTGCACTCATCGCCAGTCTGTATAACAATGCGGTACACAGTGCCACCGGGGTGAGCCCGAACAGTTTGCTACTGACTTTCAAACCTAGACTACCCTTAGATTTTCTCCTTCCTGAGAATCAGTCGACTGCTGCACCAGGTACGTTAGAGTTTGCTTACCGCTTTGAACAAAAGATGCAGCAGGTTGTAGAACAAATGCAAAAGGCACAGGCGGCTATGATAGAATCTGCAAACAAACACCGTCGCGAGTCTTCATTTCAGGTTGGAGACAGAGTCTGGGTTAAGTCCTCAGAACTGGGACAGGAGCACGGGATCTCCCGCAAGCTCATGCCACAATACTTTGGACCTTGGGAAGTTTTAGACATAGTTGGGACAGATCCGGATGGGCCATCTTATGTTATCCGGATCCCTGGTCATCTTCGAACTTACCCTGTCTTTCACGCCTCCAAGCTTGCACCTTTCAAGGAAACAGATGAGTTTCCTTCTCGTCGCTCAATGCTGCCCCCAACCATGGATGGAGAAGTGGACATCGATGACATCGTGGATCACAGGGAGCTGCCAGCTCAGAGACCCGCAGGAAGGGGACGTCCTCCGAAACCGAAGCTGCAGTACCGCGTTCGGTTCAGACATCACACTGATCCCAAGGAGGACCGTTGGTTCACGAGGGAAGAACTCATGCAGACCGCTCCTCAAGTTGTAGCCCATTATGACAAATCTCTGCAGAAGGGAAAGCGCCCTATGATTGAAGACTGAGCTTCTCAGAGGACTGTTGAAGCTAAGGAGGAGGGAATGCGAGGCCACTGCCTCTATGAGCCC